ACAACTCTTCATAGTATTCTGTTGTTATCCTTTTGATTTTGTTTGGTTCCATTGTGACATCACCCATGTCATTTCTAATGCGAGTTATTTGTGTCTTCTCCCTCTTTTCTTTTGTTAGTTTTGCCAGTGGTTTGTCAATTTTATTAATCCTATCAAAGAACCAGCTTCTTGTCCTGTTGATTCTTTCTATAGTTTTTCTGTTTTCCGTATCTTTTATTTCTTTATGTCTTTATTTCCTTATGATTTATTTCTGCTCTTTATTATTTCTTTTCTTTTGGTGACTGTAGGTCCCCTCTTTGGGTCTGTTTCTAATTGTTGGAGATGCTGTGTTAATCTGTTAATTTTGGTTCTTTTCTCTTTTTGGATGTGTGCATTTATTGTAATAAATTGTCCTATTAGCGCTGCTTTTGCCGGGTCCCAAAGATTTTGGTTTGTTGTGTTTTCATTCTCATTTGCTTCTAGGAACTTTGTGAATTCACATTTAATTTCTTCTTTTACCCAGTTGCTTTTCAGCACAATGTTATTCAGGTTCCATGTATTCGACTTTATTTCCTTGGTCGTCTTATTGTTGATTTCTAGTTTTATAGCATTGTGGTCTGAAAAGATGCTTTGTAGTATTTTGATGTTTGTAAATTTATGGAGGCTTGCTTTGTGACCTAACACATGGTCAATTCAGGAGACTGTTCCATGTGAACTGGAGAAGATTGTACATTGTGCTGTTGTTGGGTTGAATGCTCTGTACACATCTATGAGGTAAAGTTGGTTGATTGTGCTGTTTAGTTCCACTGTAACTTTGTCAAGTTTTCTGTCCCTTTTTGAAAGTGGCATATTAAAGTCTGCCACTTTAATTGTATTTTTATCTCTTTCTTTCTTCAATTATAGTTAGGTTTGCTTCATATATATCTTGGTGCTTTTTAATTAGGGGCGTATATATTTATTATGGTTATGTCATCTTGCTCAACTGATCCTTTGATCATGAGACAGTGTCCTTCTTTATCTCTTATGCTGGTTTTTGTCTTAAAGTTTACTTTATGAAAGATTAGTATTACCATTCCTTCTTGTTTATTGTTGCAGTTAGCTTGGTATATTTTTTTCCATCCTTTAACTTTTAGTCTGTTTTTGTCTTTGTGTGTAATGTGTGTCTCTTGCAGGCAACATATTAAAGGGTCTTGTTTTCTTAGCCCATTCTGCCACTCTCTTGTCTTCACTGGTGTGTTTAATCCATTGACATTCAATGTAATTATCGATAGGTATGAATTAATTGCTGCCATTATATTTTTTGGTAGTACTGTTCATTCCTTTGTTTTGCTTGCCTTCTTGTGCTGAGTTTGTGTTTTTTCTGCTATTTCTTGTTAGTTTCTTCGTAGTTTTCATGTTTGCTTGTTCTGCTTAGAAGTTCATTTGCATGGTAAGCTGTGAAATATAAACTTTCTTTGGGGTTACCGTATAGGCTATTAACTTTACCCTCCATTTCAGACAATCTGATGTGTCCTGTAATCTACCTGACCTCCTCACTACCTGGATCTCTATTCCCACATTTTCCCCTTCTTTGACATTGTTATTATTTTGCTCCTCAGTTGACCGCCCACCTCCTTTGAATTCATTGTTGTAATTTTGTTCTGTTCTGGACTCTGCTATCCGTAGTCTGAGTTTCAGGTGGTATTGCCACTCCTGTCAATCTCTGGTTGTTGTCTGGTTGATTTTCAGTCCAAAGAACTCCCTTTAGGATGTTTTGAAGTGCTGGATTATCTTTGACAAAATCTTTAAGCTTCTGTTTATCCTGGAATGTTTTGATGGCACCATCGTACTTGATTTGACAGTTTTGCTGAATAGACGATTCTTGGTTGGCTATTGTTGTTTTTTTTTAGGATTTTGTATATGTCTCCCCATTGCCTTCTTGCTTGCATGGTTTCTGCTGAATAGTCAGAGCTTACTCTAATTTACTTGCCTTTGTAAGTAACCTTTCTCTTTTCCCTGGCTGCTTTTAGGATTCTCTCCTTGTCTTTGATTTTGGAGAGCTTGATTATATGTCTTGGTAATTTTCTTTTGTGTTCTAGCCTTCCTGGGGTACGTTTGACTTCCTTTATGTTTATCTTCTCATCTTTCAAGATGTTAAGGACATTTTCTTCCAGAAGCTCTTCCACTATCTCCTCTGTGGACTTCTCTTGCCTGATTCTTCTTGTTCCAGAATGCCAATAATTCTTTAAGTTGGTCCTCTTCATGTTACCCAGCATGAATCTTAGACTCTCCTCAGAGTTTTTTTCTTTTTTTCAGCTTGCTCTTCTATCTTAACAGTATTGAAAGATTTGTCTTCCAGCTTGCTAGTTTTGGCTTCCATCTCTTCAATTCTGCTCCTTTCCCATTTCAGTGTTTTGTCCATTTATGATATTTTATTATTAATCATCTGTACCTCTTTTTGCAGGTTTTGAATTGTTTCCAGTGCTATATTATCTTGTTTGATTGCTCTTGTACTACTTTCCTGACTTCTTCCTTGTTTTTCTCCACCCCTTTTCAGAGCATTTGAATTTGTTTCTATATCATTCTTTTGAATTCCTCATCAGGCAAATCCAAAACCTGCTCTTCCTGTTCTAGAAAGCCTTTGTCTGTCTCCAGGTCATTTGTCTCAGCTACTCTTTTCTGTTTTGGGTCATGTTTTAATATCTTTTGTTGTTTTTTTTTATTCATCATTTCCAGTGGTTATGTGGGTTTTTAATGCTTAAATGGATGTTTGTTACTGTGTTACTAAACTTACTGGGTGTCTCCTGGTGGACATAATCATGAACTAGGTTTTCCCTTTCACATGTAATACGTAGCAGCTGTTATTGGCTCTTGTCTCAATGGTGGACTATTATGGGGTATACTTGTAGCTTGGGTATATGGCCACAATTGCTGATTCTTGGCTAACATAGGGAGAAAAAGTTGCCACCTCCACGAAAAATGTATGATCAAAAGGCCCAAAAGTAAAAGCAATATAAAAGTAGAGACAAAAACCACCACTTTGAAACAAAAATAAAACTGTGGCCAACTGTCCAGTTGCCTTGCTATACAGGTAGTGTGTGTGCACTGCAGAAGCCTCCAGGTAGTGGGTGGGGGTGTCCACTCGCTTAGGCCCCTCCTCTAGTCAGCACTGTAGAGATGTGCAGATAGATATTGAGAAGTTAATGGGAGAAAGATTGTTTACTGTTTTTGTCCCTGAAGGTCAGTTAAGTATCTGCTTGTACACAGCATCATTCTTGAAATAGTAGCATTTTTTTATGTTGGGATTTTAGAGATTGTTCATATGGTTTGTCTGTCAGGCCAAACCTGCTTTTTTTCTTGCTGGATAGGCAAGAGTAAAGGGTCCTGCACGAGTTAACTTTAGGGCTGGGACCCACAGCAGAAGGCAAAAGCAGCAGCCAAAGAATTTGCCCTTGTATAGCACCCACTGTTATAGCAATTTCTTATGTTAGTTAGAGTAGCTGCAATAATACATAAGTACTGAAATCTCAATAGCTTAATGTAGTATAAGTTTATTTTTCTTTCCTGAAGTCCAAAATGAATGTTTCTGATTGACAGGCAACTTTTCAACTGGTGATTAAGAATCCCGGGCTCTTTCCATCTTGTAGCTCAAAATCGTCTGCATTCTGCTGGCAGATGGAGTAAGAAAAAGTACATTTACTACATGTTGGAGATTTATAAGCACATCACTTCCACTTACATTCCATTAGCCAGAATTGTCATATGTTGTTATTGTTGTTGGGTGCCATCAATTCAGTTCCAACTCATAGCAACCTGCATAGGGTTTCTGACAGTAGCTGGTGGGTTTGAACTGCTTCTCTTACAGTTACAAGTCCAGTGCTTATCCCACAATCACTTGTAATTGCACAGGCATCTGGGAAATGTAATCTAGTAGTATGCCTAGGAGGGAGAGCAAATGAGATCAGTGAACAGTTTGCCAGTCTTGCTACATTAAACAAAATTTTTGTTAAATCAGTTGCAACTCATTGGCAGCCCTATGTGTATAAGGATAGAACTGTGTTCCGTAGGATTTTCAGTGGCTGCTTTTCTCAGAAGTAGATCATCAAGTCTTCTGAGGCACCTCTGGGTGGACCTGTACCTCCAAACCTGAAGTTTGTAACCAAGTGTTTTAACTGTTTGCAGCACTCAGAGACAGTTCTTGCTGCTTTGTTGTTGTTGTTGTTGTTGTTAAGTCGAGTCGGTTCCGACCCATAGCGACCCTGTACAGGGTTTCCGAGGGTGTAAATCCTTACAGGAGTAGAAAGCCTCATCTTTCTCCCGCAGAGCGGCTGGTAGTTTCGAACTGCTGACCTTAGGGTTCGCAGCCCGATTCGTAACCACTACGCTACCAGAGCTCCAGTAAAGCTCTCATCATTAATCAGAGCAAAGCAGGCTTGGAAACTTGTGTACCGTATTCTCTTCACAATCCAGCACATGGATATGCATATTTATATGTATAGCATTAAAACAAGTTTCACAAAACAATACTTAGTAGTTGCAATGTGCTTTGATATTTTCAATTTTCCACTAATTAAAAAAAAATGTAAATGCCATCACTACCTACTAAATTGTGTTTATGACTGTTACTAAGTTTCTGCGTTCAGTTTGAAAAATATTGGGGTGGGTATATTAAGTACAGGAGCAGTGATTTATGAAAGTATTTGATATTCACCCACTCCCATTTCAGGTCACCATAATGTTGAATTTCTTTTCATTCCATTTTTTAAAATAATGGCCCAGAGAGAAGAATGGTCAGGATTGATTGTGGAAATAGAGATGGAAACATCAAAATGTGAGTGTAGCAGTGCTTCCACCAGAGCTAGGCTGAGGTCATTTACTTTTTTGCTGGTGTCCCCTGAATTAGGCTGTTGTCATTACCAACTAACATTTCATAGGCGTTAACTGGTAATATTATGCTTAACCCTTTCTATTTTCACAAATGTTATCTTTTTATTATAGAATTAAATATTAGTCTTGTAACCTCTGGTTTCTTTTTATAACAGCTTGTTGCTGGTCGCAGGGGGGACAGTTCTAAAAATCTGTGATTTTGGTACAGCCTGTGACATTCAGACTCATATGACCAATAACAAGGGAAGTGCTGCATGGATGGCGCCTGAAGTGTTTGAAGGTAAATGACAAGAGTGGGCTGGGATTGATAAATCCGCCTTATTCTATGCGAATCTTACATGTGTTTATAGCTTTACCCCATTTCTATGGTTTTATTTCTATGTAGTATGTAATTTCAAGGGGGCTTCCGAAAGTTCTTGGAAAACTGGAATTAAAAGGTAAAGGAATTTTTCCATGAACTTTTGGAAGCTTGTCATATAAAGTACATTTCCTGTTTGCTATTTGTTGTCGTTAAGTTGATTTTGACTTATAATGCCCCTGTGGGTTTTCAAGTCTGTGACCTTTTGGTAGCAAATGGCCAGGGCAGGTGAGTTAGAATCATCAAGCTTCTAACTAGTAGTTAAATGTTTAACTACTTGCATCACCCTGTGACTTCATATGCAGTATGTACCGAAATCTTAAGGAGATATTAAATAAATTTGGCCTTAGATTTTAAATCTTACAGCAGAATTTAAGTTACCTTGCACCTTTTATGTAAATTCAAGTATGTTCTTTTGTATTGTTTCTTAGAGATTAAATTGACAGTACTTGTCTTAGGCTAGGTTCTTTAGAGAAGCAAAACCTGTGAAACTTACATATGTATATATAAAGAGAAGTTTATATCAAGGAAATGGCTCACATGGTTGTAGAGATGGGAGAGTCCCAAGTCCAGGTCAGATGGCAGGCAGGTAGGTCAGCAGGTGAGAAGGCAGGCTGCTTATGGATCCCAGGATAGGCAGGTAATAGGTAATAGAGTAGACCACTGGCCCAAGTCCAAAGAACCAGAGGTCTGAGGATGAGCCAGATGCAAGATCCAGACCCAGCAGAGAGCAAACGAGCTTTACCTAAGTGATTAATGTTTTGGAAACTTGCTTTTGATTGATTGGCTACTCATAGCAGAACTCATCATAGAGTTAATTACATTGTATTAAATCTCATTATGGGGATAACTACATCTCAACTAAAAAACTATTTTGAATCCTGGCCCAGTCAAGTTGACACAAAAACTTAACTATCACAGCTGTTGTTCAATGCCATTGAGTCGGTTCGATTCATAGCTGTCCTGTGAAGGTTTCCAGAGAGCTGCTGGTGAGTTTGAACCATCGACCTTACAATTGAAACTGACATTATGGTCGAGTGCTTATCCTAAAGCACCACACCAGGACTCCCAACTGTCACAGTACTGAGCTTTAAATGAACATGCCTCAGGGGAAAATGCTAGTAAATAATGGGCTAGAAATATAATACTCAGAACCACAAATCTAGAACAAACTTAAGCTTGTTCTTAAAGAGAGGTCCATATATTTCATACTAGCTTTCTATATAAAAATATCAAATTATAATGAGAGAAGCTGAACTGAGGGTGTGTAATTTTTGTTAGGAAGTATGATTCAGATGTCAGTCAACAGGGTTTGGCTATGGTGTATTAATTTTGATTGATTGATTTATTTTAGCCACTCTAGAAAAAGAGAAATTTGCAATACAGCTAGTCATTTGACTCACATTCTATTTCCTTAAATTCTAGTAAGAAGTTGGTCAAATCAGTGTTAATTTATACAAAATTAGATAATCCCTTCTATTTTCAAGTTAATATATAGAATACATTTTAGTCTGTTTCTTATATAGATGTTTTTAATGTATAGTTTGTTACTTTTTTATACAGAAATCTAGTATGAAATGTATGGACCACTCTTTAAGAATTTAGTAAGATACAGAGGTGTCAAACAAAGGTCAGGTTATTTCTTCACTTCTAAAAGATTTCTACTGATGGCACCTGTAACCCAGAACCAAACCCATTGTTGTAGAGTTGATTCTAACTCTAAAGTGACTCTGTAAGACAGAGTAGAACTGTCCCCTAAGATTTCCAAGGCTATAGAAATCTTTATGGAAGCACATGTCTACGTTTTTCTCCCACAGAGTATCTGATGAGTTCCAAACCACCAATTGTTTGGTTAGTAGCTGAGCACTTTATCACCAGGGCTCCTAGTGACACCTTGGCCTTTCTATGTTAGCCTTATTGTGTTGATAATTACACTGTACTAAATAGTGTTTGTAGCTATCACTAGAAACATTTTTCTTTTTAGTGTATTTTTTTTTCTAACTATTGTGTAAAAACATTGAGTCAATGTTTATAGACAAGATCTTCAACTTTACATTCAACAAATAATACACTTTGTTTCATCTCAATGATTGCAGATGATTGCAACCAGGGCCCTCTATGGAACAGCAGTTATCTCGCTCTCTCCTGTGGTTCCTATTTCCATCCTACCCACCTTCCCATTCCTTCTTAACTTTGTCTTTCGGTACATGTTGCCCTTTTGACTTTGAATGACTGACTGTTCCATCATTCATAGTGAGCATACCTTACTAGTGTTTGTTCCCTCATATATCTTATCTACTACTTGGCGGAAGGTTGGGCCAGGAGGGTGAGTTCCATTCCAATCCTGAAGGGGGTCATCAAGAGCTATAGTCCTGGGTTCCTCCTGTCTCTTTCTGACCAGTAAGCTCGGTCTTCTTCTTTTAAAATAATTTTGAGTTTTGTTCCACACCTTATGCTACTCTGTCCAGGACCTTCCAATGTAATCTCTTTCAGAGCAGTTGATAGTGGTAGCCGGGCACTGTCTGGTTCTTCTGGTGTCAGTCATGGAGACTGATGTTCAGTGTTCCATTAATCTGTTGGGCTAATTGATTCCAACCATCTTCAGTTCTCATCACTCTTTTTCCTTCTGCACATACAGAGACCAATAGCTGCGCCTTAGATAGCCACTCATGAGCTTTTAAAATCCCAGATGCTACTCACCAAAGTAGGATGTAGAGCATTGTTTTTGTGGACTATGTTACACCAACTGACCATGGTATCTCCTGAGGCTATAGTCCTGAGCCCCCAGACTCAGCTACTCATTACCTTAAGATGTTTGATAATATATAAGAAGTTTTCATCATTTTGCCTGCTGTAAATTCCGCCACATTCATAGTTGTATTTACAGCAAAGGTAAATACTCTTTTTGCTGTTTCTTAAGGTAATTCATCCATCAACTTAGTACTTCTATAAATTTGGCTACATTAATCTGACATAAATTTATATATGGTTTTCATTGTTTACAACTTATTTTTTAAGTTTTCAAATTAAAATAATTTTTTTAATGTTTTATTAAGAATTATGTGATAGTTTACATGGGAGAAAATTAGCTTTACATTCATCCTGTTGTATATTGTTTCATTTCAAATTAAAAATTTTATTTCACCAGATATTGAGGGGGGGTGGAATCAAAACACTAATTTAAGTGTTAAGAAGAAAGTTAAAATTCTAATTCAGTGATATCAGAATAATGCTATCCACCCAGAAAAATAAATGAAGAAAGTTTAAATTATTTCAGAAAGGAAAATACAAATGTTTTACATTTTGCTGCAGAAAAAGAGAAAGTATCATCATTCTCAATTAAATAAAAGACAAGGCCTATGCCTCTTGATGAGAAGATAGAAAATAAACTGATATTCTAAAGTGATTTTTTTCTGATTGTGCATTGTTGCTAATTAATGTATTTAAAAAGTACGTATTTGTTGAAAAGACTTAAGGTACGTAAGAAAGATTAATTTTTCAACACATAAAATCTCATTTTTATACAAAAATGCCCATTTTAAAACATCATGAAAGCAATTATGTCTTTAAGTAATGGGGTGGGGCAGTGGGGAGTCTTTAAATTATACTTCCCTTTTTGTTTTTTGTTTTTTCCCTAGGTAGCAATTACAGTGAAAAATGTGATGTCTTCAGCTGGGGTATTATCCTTTGGGAAGTAATAACACGTCGGAAACCTTTTGATGAAATTGGTGGCCCGGCTTTCCGTATCATGTGGGCTGTTCACAACGGTTTGTGAAAAAACAACTTTCTTGAACGTATTCTGCATTTCTCCTGTTTCCTACCCATACCCCCTTAAGGAAAACCATCCATCTCTACATTAAAATGAACAAGTTTTTTGTTACCAGAATATTTCCAGGTAACCTATCCCCTACCAATTTAGGCTGGTGTAGCAAGGCTGAGTGTGGTCCTGGCCTCTGTTGCGCCACGTCAGTGTTTGGGTTGGAGGATATGCTGCTCACTGTGCTGATTTGAGAAAGTTTATCCATAGACAAGCCAGAGCCCTCTGTGAGGAAAGGGGAAGCTACAGACTGGACTATGTGGAAAAACTAAAATCCGGTTATCTCGCACATTGTTAAGATAACTTGGCCACTTGTTTGAGGTAAGGAAGGGTCTCTCATCCAGGAGAGAAGACAGAAACTAATAATGAAAGTTGTGACTATCAGTCTCATAAAGGCATAAAACAGTGTGCTTCACATAACCTTTCTTTTGTTTCTTCTTGCCCACTCTTACTATTTTTTTCATTTTACAGACTTGGAAACTTAGCCATAGATTCAATCACTTACCTGAGGTCACCACATAGGTAAACTTTAGTGAGCCAGTTTTAGCTCTTTCTGACTTAAATGCCTGTACACCTGACTCCTCACTTGTTAGTCAAGTTACTTAGGTGATATTTTGCCTTTATGGCAATTATAAAAGATCTGCTATTTTAACTCTTTTGCACATTAACAACATACGCCTGGCAGTCATAAATGTCGCAGTGCTAGGTGAGAGTAACACTGACTGACGTATGGTTACATGTCAACTTGACTGGGCTGTGATTCTTAGTTTGGCACTTGTGTAATGATGTAATTTGGCAGTTATGTAGTGATGTAGTCATTCTCTATTTTGTGATCTAATGTGATTATTCTCTGTTTTCAATAACAGCAATTTTCATATAATGACCGGATCTCTGGAACCTAACCATGTGACTAAGTAAAGAATGGGTTGAGTGTAATTTTTAAGTTAAAGTAACTTATGAACTCAATGACATTGCCTCCTTCCTGTTCCTTTTATAGATCTAGTAATGGTGCTGTAGGATAAGCACTAGACCTCAAGGTCCATTTGAGTATCAAGGTTCAAACTTACCAGCTGCTCCTTGGAAATCCTATTCAGGGTTATTATGAGTCTGAACTGCCTTGAAGGCACTTAACAACAACAACAATGATATTTCTAACCACACATGATACTCGAATGTATCCATCCTCTTCATTAAGCAAGTTGTTTCATACTTGCCTTAGAAAAATAATTTTTTTAATGAAAAAAATTATTTGACCATACTAGCTGTTTCTATTTAATATGTACTTGATTATAATAATTCCAATTAATGGTATTTTTATACACTTTTCCACAAATGATAAGAGCATTGTTGTTGTTATGTGCCGTGGAGTCGGTTCCGACTCATAGCGACCCTGTATAGGGTGTCCGAGGCTGTAAATCTTTATGGGAGCCGAAAACCTCATCTTTCTCCCACGGAACAGCTGGTAGTTTTGAACTGCTGACCTTGAGGTTCGTAGCCCGATTCATAACCACTACGCTACCAGAGCTCCTTATGTTGTTGTTGTTGTCAGGTGCCATCGAGTTGGAACCGACTCATAGCGATCCCATGTACAGCAGAATGAAACAATGTCCTTTCCTGGGCCATCCTCACTACCGCTGCCACACTTGAATCCAACAATGATGCCACCTGGCCAATCCATCTCGTTAGGGGTCTTCCTCTTTTTCTCTGACCCTCCACCTTACCCAGCGTGACATCCTTCTCCAGTGACTGTTTCCTCCGGACAATATGTCCAAAGTGTAAGAGACGAAGTTTAGCCATCCTGGCCTCCAAGGAGCACTCTGGCTGCACTTCTTCCAAAACAGATCTATTGGTTCTTTTGGCAGTCCATGGCACTTTCAGTATTCTCCTCCAACACCACAACTCAAAGGCATCAATTCTTCTACGATCTTCCTTTCCTTATTCACTGTCCAGCTTTCGCATCCATATGAGGCTATTGAAAACACCATGGCCTGGGTCAGGCGCACCTTAGTCCTCAAGCTGACATCTCTGCTCTTCAATACTTTAAAAAGTTCCTGTGCAGTAGATTTGCCCAATGCAATACGTCATCTGATCTCTTGACTGCTGCTTCCGCGAGTGTTGATAGTTGATCCAAGAAGAATGAAGTCCTTGACAACTTCAGTCTTTTCTCCATTGATAAGAATGTTGTTTATTGGTCCAGTGGTGAGGATTTTTGTTTTCTTGACATTGAGATGTAATCCATATCGAAGGCTGTGCTCTTTGATCTTCATCAGTAAATGTTTCTCGTCCTCTTCACTTTCAGCGAGCAAGGTTGTATCATCTGCATATCGCAGGTTGTTAATGAGTCTTCCTCCAATCCTGATGCCATGTTTTTCTTCTTAGAACCCAGCTTCTCGAATATATGTTTACCTGATTCCTTAGGTATTTATAAATTTTCAGACAATACTTAACCATCTGAGGAATTGTATTTTTTAGCCGTAGTTTGTAATACCTTTAATGTCACTGTAGAGAATGCTAGAGCATTGATCAATACAGAATGCTTTCTTTTTCTCTGTTGATTATCAGTAAGTAATGTCAATGAAGTAGAGAAAAAAAAAAACTATTAAGTGGCAAAAATCTCATTATGTAAATAGGACCTTACTAATAATATTACAGTCTTAGTAATTCCACAAAAATGGGTAGTTTTCAGTTTGTGAAATGATTGACTCATAGCAGCCAAAAGATCTACCTCCCACACAAGGGTCAGTTGGAAGTCGTAGTTGATTAATAACACTATAGTTGATCCGTTTTTGGATGTATGCAGGTAAGAGTTCCAGACCATACATATACAAGTTTTTTAAACAAAATGTGTTTAACATGTCTCTGTGATCCATGGGTAGCTGCAGACAAGCTTCCTCAGTGATATGCTTGTCTTAGTCTTATTAGGATGCTTTCAAAGAGAAAGGTACTTTTTGTGCCAGGGGGGAAAACTATTTTGAGGTTAGGGCTAATATAAAATTTTTAATAAAATAAAAGTGGACATCTTCCCACATCATTGGAGTTTTGCAACCACTGGGTGGGAATGCTACTCCCACATAAAACTACAGTTTTCAGATAGATCAAGTCAGGAAGACCTCAGAGATAGCCAAGAGAGGAAATACTGTCAACTTTGACAAATGAAGAAACTGGCTGAAGAAAACCTAGAATTACCATTGTTGTAATAGCTACTGAATTTGGAATCTCACATGTTTCAGCTTTTTCCATTTTAAATGAACATCTTGGCCTCAGCAAGCATTCAGTTCAATGGGTGCCAAAAGTGTTTGGCAAATATCAGCTACCTCAGAGAAGATTGAAGGTAATGAAGGTGATTGACTTGGAGTTACCAATACGGTTCAGAGAGCAAAACACAATCAGAATTGTAGCTTTTGAGGGGATCTGCCGAGCCCATTAAATTCAAGGCAAATAGAAGGTTATGGTTTGGTTACTGTTGTTTGGGATTCCAAAGGAACAATCTTTTTTTTAAAAACTAAAATTGTGAATTGAGCAATAGTTTACATGGGAGAATATCTGTTTTGTACTCAACCTATTGTACGTTGTTTCATTTCGATGATTACAGTCCCCTCCATGCATCATCAGTTAACAGTATTTGCTTCTATACCCTGTTCGTATTTTGTTTTTTCATGTACACAAAAAACATGCAGGACTATATAATCGTTTAAACAAGCAAGGGGCACATTCTACAAGGCCACCTCTTGGCCTCCAGCACACAGCCTTTCTTTTTCCATGAATCTAGAGTCCTCAGCTGCTTTATCTCTCTATGCCATAACCTCTGCCTCCATCTCTGGTGTTGCTACTTCTTAGGTTAGGGTCCTACATTCCACTCATGCTTCTCTCTTTTGATGGAGCAAGGGTCCTCTGTTTCTTGAATGTAGGATTAATTATTCTCCCCCTTTTGTTACACAACTTCTACCTTTACAGTTGTGACAATCACAATAAGTCATGATAACAAATACTCACTATTGAATCAGATAAAATCCCATCTCCTTTCACCAGACCCATCTAAATAAGATGAAACTATTCAGTAGGAATTCTACCCAAAGGAGTAATCCTGATATATTTTCTTGAAGAACACTGGATAATCGTGAGGGCTTGTTTTGAAGAACTTTTAAGAAAATTGTAAACTTGCATTGGTGAGAAAAAAGCCAAGAAAGTTTAACTAAAGAATTATCTTCCACTACAACAATACAACCAAAGGTTACATAAAATACAAACAAGGACTACCCTACAAAAATTTCATTGTGAAACTTAACCCTACCCTCCCTACAGCCTTGATCTTACTCTTACAGATTTTTGTTCTGAAACTCGAAGAACATTGAAGTGGAGCAGGTTTCAGTCCTTTGAGGATGCCAACACTGCTGTTTTGAAGTGGTGTAATTCGAAGAAGGCACAATTCTTTGGTGAAGTGTTAGAGAGATGGAAACACTCACTGCCTTCAGGAGGATATGTCGAGAAATACCTCAAATTTTCATAGTTTGGTGTAATTAATTTTGATAATTATGATTTTGCAGCAACATTTTTGACTTAACCTCCTAGAAATGAATTTTTCAAACACACTTGAAATTTTTGTAATGAATCTAAAAACATGGCTCAGATAAGATTCTCCTCAAGTCTCCATTTTATTTTTCTTAATAAAAAACACACCTTGAGCCATTATCATAGATTAAAAAAATATTGTAAATGAAATATTGTTAAATCTCATTCTTACTATGTTGTTAAAATGTTATTGAATTGGTTCCAACACATAACAACCCTGTATAGGGTTTCTGCACATAATAAAAACTTTAGCTTTTAAAAAAGCATAGCTTCTCTTTTGTGAAAATATACATAGATATAACGTAAAAGAGGTTTAAAAACAAAGCAAAACATAATTTTATTCTTAAATGACAAGATCTATAAAATAAATACTTTTTTTAGAAGTGAGTATAAAAATTTATACCTTTGGGTAAACATATTTCGTGTTTAATTTTCAATTATAGGTACTAGACCACCACTGATCAAAAATTTACCTAAGCCCATTGAAAGCCTGATGACTCGTTGTTGGTCTAAAGATCCTTCTCAGCGCCCTTCTATGGAGGAGATTGTGAAAATAATGACTCACTTGATGCGGGTATAATCCTTCTTTTGAGGGGCTTTGGGTTTAGCAGAATTTGATATATACTGAGTTTAATGAAGTTTTAAAATAAAGGAAATATTGTTTTTGCTTTATAAATTTTCTGTATTTTTTAAGTTAGAGAAAGCAGGCATTGCTCACAATCAGAGGAGGTAATTTTATTTTGAAAAACAAATAATTCTTTACAATGGAAAGATGTCTAGACTAGGTTTTTGGACTTCTCACTCTAGTAACCATTAGTGACAAGTGTGTTTGTCTCTGGGCCTAGTGCCTCATTTGTAAGGTGATAGAAATTGAATTTAGTGGTCTCTAAAGCTCCATGGGTTAATGTGCCAGACTGCAAAGCTGATTGAACTGCAAGGTTGGTGGTTCAAGCTCACCAGCTAGCTGCTCCTTGGAAACCCTATACAGGGTCACTATGGGTCAGAACCGACTCGACAGCAAGGCAAATGACAACAACAATAACTAAGCCAATTACAGACTCCTGGTATGACGTTGTAGGATGGGCACTGGACTGCAAACCACAAATTCGGTGATTCAGTTCCACCAGCTGCACCTCAGAAACTCTATTAGGGTCATTGAGTCAGAACAGACTCAACAGCACTTAACAAAACTATCACAGTATTTATGTATCTTACCATGGCTAATAAAATACTTAAGTACATTTAAAAAATCCTGAATGCAGATCTTCATCAAGCACTTGATTGTTTATACAGAGCAGTGAAGAGGTTGTATTCCTAGACATATTTATTAAGTCATTTTTTTTTTTTTTTTTACTTTTTGGAAATATTTATTGTTAAATGCCATCGAATCTGTTCCAACTCATAGTAACCCTATATAGGGTTTCTGAAGAGCGGCTGGTGGGGAAGTATAGTCGATCCTTATTATTTGTGAATTCCATATGTGTGAATTCATCTATCCAGTAAAACTGACTTGTAACCCCAGGATGAGTACTCACCAGTGCTGTCACAGCCATTCACAGACATGCTGAGAGAGATGATACTCTGTCTTCTTGTTTCAGCTCTCATATTGTAAACAACTGTCCTTTTTACAGTCACTTAATGCCACCCTTTTTGTAGTTTTGTCCCTTTTCCTAGTGATTTCCCTGTTTAAAATGACCCCAATCATAGTGCTGAAATGCAGTCTGCTGTTCCTAGATAACCATGCAAGAAGACTGTATGCCTTATGGTATATGTTTAGTGTTAAATGAGTCAGTAATATATTCTGAACAAGATGTCTTTAAACAGAAACATGCATAAAACAAAGTCACATCATAATGGGTTGATGAAAGTGTTGTGACCAGAGGCTTGCAATTTTGCCCCTAGGAGCAGTGGTTCAATATATACTAATTCAGTGTTCAGTATTCACTTTATAGACCTGTAAGTTGTGCAAATAACAAGAATTGACTGTTTCTCATTGCTTATTCTCATGTTTTCACTTGACGTTAAAAGGTTAAACTTTACTCTGGGATACTTTTGTTTCTGTGTCTAATGATTTGTAATTATTTGAAATATTTTAGACTTCTAGAGTTTGTTGTATTAATAAAATCTGTCACAGAGTATCTTGAATTTTAAAAGTTAACATTTATGAAAATGCCTCAATTTCAGACCAGTTTGTTATAAGAAGAATCTTCCATTCTCCTTAAATATAAACTAATCAGGATTTAGATCTTGAATCTTAAGATACACTGTGACTGTGATTTCCCACATGGAATTTAGTTTACTTCAGCCTATTGAAAATAGCTAGTTAATACTTGTTTACTAGCTTTATATAGAGAACTTTAGGCTCTAAAGAAAGAATAGAGAAGAAAACAGCTTAGTCTCTCTAGTTAGATAACTTAAAACTTTGGGATGTATAAATTATTCAGACTAATTGTGTTGATAATTCTTTATCTTTTTTGAGAAAAATGCTTTTTTGTCTTAAATTTCTATTTTTCTTACCAGCAAATCTTTCTAATATTATATCTACAAGTCATAGAGGGGTGTCCATAATCTACCCTCATCATAATTCTAAAACTTAGTTCTAACAAGTATCCTGTAGTATACCAGTCTCACTGATCAGACATTAGCAATCACTGCAACAACCTGCAAGCTTATCTCGTTGCTATGACAACATAAACAGTTTCATACAATTATGAGAACTGATACTGTGCTCATATGTTCCTCTAGAAAAAGATGTGCTGTTTTCTTCCAAAATCATCTAGGTTACAAAGAAACTAGATGCTCGAATAACTATATGGTATTGGTCACAAAAAGAGACAAAGCATTATCGTCATTTTCGTAAAGTAAAAAATTTAGTGTTTGCGCAAATTTGATGTATGTATTTCCGAAAATAAAGCAACATTTTTGCTAATGTTAAATTTCATGACAAGGAAAGAATTCAGATATGTTTCTTGAGTTAATTTTAACAGGATTTAATTTCTAGTAAAGACCATTTTCATTGTGCTTTGCTTTTATCTATATAGTACTTTCCAGGAGCAGATGAGCCTTTACAGTACCCTTATCAGTATTCAGATGAAGGTCAGAGCAACTCTGCCACCAGTACAGGTAAATGGAGAGATTGGAACTGTAATAACCTGATTGGTTGTTTTGTTTGTTTGTTTGTTTGAATGGAGATCTTAATTTCCATGAAATTATAATCAAGAAGCAATGAATGATGTCCCCATTTGCATTTTAATTCCTTCATTTCTTATGATTGAGTGCATTTTGAGTTTCCAGGTGCATCATTCTTCGTGAAGGTACCCAGATTAGAGTTATTAAAGACCTGCTTCAAGTCTTGGAATTCTTTCATATTTATGTATAAGAAGATAGGATATGATGATATTGTTGTGAACATCATTCTTAATTTTAAAAATAGTTTTTAGTATATATTGTTTCTGTTACTCGGTACCATCAAGTTGGCTCTAACTCATAGTGACCCTATGTACAACAGAGTGATGATGCTCTGTAGCACAGTCTGCCCTGACTTTGTTTTGTCTGATGATATGAACTTTTCCACCATTGCTTCCCACAAATGTAGTCAATTTGATTTCTGTGTATTCCATTTATTGAGGTCCATGGGTATACTTGCCTTTTATGTTGTTTAAACAAGGTATTTGCAATGAGTAAGTCATTTGTATTGAAAAATTTGGTTACGGGATCTTCAGCATCGTTTCAATTACCAACGTCATATTTTCTAACTACCGACCCCTTCCTCTTTGTTTCCTACCTTCACATCCTGTTCATCAGTATTCTTGATTGCATGTTTGCTCAATTTAAGACTGAAGAAGTTGGTAGACTTCTTCAATTTCATCACTGGCTTGAGTGGTTGGTTCATAAATTTGAAGGATAGTAATATTAACTGGTCTTCCTTGTTGTTGTTGTTAAGTGCCATTGAGTTGGTTCTGACCCATAATGACCCTCTATAGATTTTCCAAGGAGCAGCTTGTGAGCTTGAGCCGCTGAGTTTGCGGCTGAAATTGACATTGCAGTCCAGTGCATTAACTCACAGCATTATACTAGGACTCCTGTCACAGACAGCATTGTATTTCAACATTGATCTTGAAATGTTATTTTTGAGGGTGAATGCTACAAATTAATCTTGAAATAAACACAAGGATTATCAGATTCAGAATACCAATACCAGTCCACTTCCACTTACTAATGCCTGGTATGTAGTCATAGTGGGTTAAAGCGCTAGACTCCAAAGTCAGTTTGAACCACAAGGTTGGCAGTTCAAGCTCACCGGTTGCTCCTCAGAAACCTTATACAGGTTCACTATGAGTTGGAACCAACTCCACAGCACTTGACAGCAACAGTGCCAAACATACTGATCTTTATGGATTCTTAGTATGTATGGCTGGATCAACATTGTTGTTGTTATGTGCCGTGGAGTCAGTTCTGACTCATAGCGACCCTGTACAGGGTTTCCGAGGCTGTAAATCTTTATAGGAGCAGAAAGCCTCATCTTTCCCGTGGAACAGCTGGTTGTTTCAAACTGCTTACCTTAAGGTTCGCAGCCCAATTCGTAACCACTGTGCAAAATATTAGATATATGTGTAAATTAACAGATTTCTTCCATGTGAATACTCTGTATCTTGTTCTCATCCATGGAGACTTATTAAAAGGTCTATTTTAGTTAATAAGGAACTCTGGTAATGCAGTGGGTTACAAATTAGGGTGCTAACTACAAGGTCAGCAGTTCCAATCTACCAGCCACTCCACAGGAGATAGATGAGGTTTTCTGCTCCCTTAAAGATTGACAGCCTTGGAAACCCCTTTACAGGGTTGCTATGAATTAGAACTGACTCCATTGCCACCACCACAGCATCATTTTAGTTAATGTTTCTTCTTTTTCATATGAAGTAGTGGTGGAATCTGTATCTGTGATCAGTAAGTAAAAAAGGCCAGTAGAAGGCCTAGAGAGCTGCGTAAAAAAGGTTTGTTGTTGTGTGCCATGGAGTCAGTTCTGACTTATAGCGACCCTATATGGGGTTTCCGAGGGATAGTTGGTGTGCTTTGTGTTTCAAACCGACTTTGCAGTCCAGTGCATTAACCCACAGTGCAGCCTTGAAATGTTTATGTTGCATATATGGGATCACCTGGAGTTGGGAGCAACTCAACTTTAACAACTAAAAGAATAAGGTACTTCTCACAATGTATACATTAAAGCATTTCATTATTAATTTTTTTAAATTAAATTATATGTTTTATAGCTTTTTTGTCCTGTACAGAAAATTTAAATTTAAAAAATCTAAAAATTTTGTTTTCATTGACAAATATTTTTACTAGTCTACTTCTGCACTACCATCTCAAGAAGAATATTCTTCTTGAATAAGACTGGTTTACTACTTAGTTGGTATCAGGTTCTAATGAGCTCTGGTAGCATAGTGTTTACGAATCGGGCTGCTAACCTCAAGGTCAGCAGTTCAAAACTACCAGCTGTTCTATGGGCGAAAGATGAGGCTTTCTGCTCCTGTAAAGATTTACAGCCTTGGAAACCTTATACAGGGTCTCTATGAGTCCGAACCGACTCCATGACACACAACAACAACAATTTTACAAAATCTTTAATTGACATTGAATTCTAAAGTAAACCTCTGCTGAAGGTTTCTGAAGTTGTCAATCTTCTGTTAGGGCTATAATGTGTACTTTGGAGAATTAAGCATTAGAAACAATTTTTAATATTTGTGGGTTTGTTTTTTTTTTCTTCCAAAAATATAAGGAAATTATGTATCATTCCACTTTATAGAATAATGGATAATATTGGCTATCTCTGATTCATATTGTACTTTTCGTAGTACAATGTAAACAGTTGTTTTTGTTAAGTGCTGTCGAGTCAGTTCTGACCCATAGCGATCCTGTACAGGGTTTCCAAGGAGTGGACTGGTGAACTTGAACTTTTCAGGTCCAATGACTTTGCAGTCTGGCACATTTAAGTGTCAATATTTACCACTTTGGAAACCTTCAGCAAGGTTGCTCTGAGTTGGAACTGACTTGAAGGCACTGTGACACCTAATGAATATCTCAGATTTACTCAGATTTAACATTTTTTAAACTGAGTTCCCAATACTCTGTTTAAAGTTGCTCCTCCCATGGTTTTCCCAATCTCAATCAATATCAGTTCTTCTGTTTGCTCATGCTGAAAAACCTTGAAGTCATTTTGAGTCCTCTTTTTTTTTTTCCCCTAACATTTCACATCCAATATCAAATCCTATTGACTTCCGCTTTAAAAATCTATGCAGAATCCAAATTTCTTCTCACCACTCCACTGTCCGGGTTGTTATTAACTATGTTATTCACCACAGCACACCTTCCACCAAACTATTTATACTATTTCAGCCATCCAGGTTTCTTGATGATTCTGGAAACATGCTAGATATGCACCTGCCTTATTAGCACCTCTGTACATGTTGGTCCTTTGCTGACATGTTCTTTCTCCAGAGATCCATATGATCATTGCTTCAGAGAAGGAAATAACAGCTTTGCAGGGAGCCTTGTGTTGACCACCCTATGTAAAATAGTCCCCTCCAACACTTTCTTCCACCTGCCCACCTCCCCCATAAAAAAACAAACAAACACTTTATGGTGATGGAATCCTAGTGTGACACTGTGGGTTAATGCACTAGGCTACAAGATTAGTTTGAACCACAAGGTCACTGGTTCAAACTCAGCAGCCACTCCTCAGAAACCGTGTAACAGGGGTCGCTTTGAGTTGGAATGGACTCGACTGCACTTAACAACAACAAACGTGCTATGTGTTCCAAATATTGATTATCTGTCTTCCCAGCTAGAATGTTAGCTCCACGATGGTACGGGCATTTGTATGTGATTCACTGTTTTATCATATTGAATGAATGTGTAGCCTGTTCCTCTTCTCTATCTGCCTTCATTCTTGAAAGGAGCATTCTTTATATGACTCCAAAGATTATTTAGGCCTTTTGGCTCTTTGGATACACCCTTTAGGTTTCTTTAAAATGGGTTTGTTTTGTTATCTTTATTAGTTTTTATAAATGTGTTACTATACTATGGTCAGTTTCTCATTTGTCTTGAAAAATTGACTTCTGTTCATACCATGGTTTACTTAGAAAGGAATTTGTGTTATATAACATTGAGTACAGCACTTTTTGTTGTTCCCAACCTGTAGTCATAAATGTTTCTGCTTTCCTAGGCTCATTCATGGACATCACTTCTACAAATACCAGTAATAAAAGTGACACTAATATGGAACAAGTTCCTGCCACAAATGATACTATTAAACGCTTAGAATCAAAATTATTGAAAAATCAGGCAAAACAACAGGTTTGTGATATTCTTAAAAATATGATAACCTTACTAGTAGTCATAACATTTTTCTTAACTGATTAAATTATCACCATCTTTCATTCTCCTTTCCAGTGATCATCCTAACTTTAATGGTTGATGATTAAAATTCAAAAGGTACAGTTTTAGCTGAATGAGTTTTCATGAATCTGTTGTTTCATGCTGTCCATATTTATTCTGTGTGATTATTTTTGACCATTGTTCATTTAAATATATTTTAATAAGTTATTTTATTTCTCTTACTCAACGCATAAGTGGTTAGTATGCATAGGCTCACTAGTAATTAGGGCATTTAACTCACAACTTGAGTGGTTGCTTTGTCATAATGCAGTATCTCCAACTCACTCTCTCTTACTCTCTAGCTCTCTCTCCCTACGAACTTCCTTCTTCTTTCAGAGCAGAACAGGATGCACTGAAAACCCCAGTTGCCATCATCCTCCATCTAGGCTGCCTAGGCCTAAATGGAAAGACCTTCATTAATTCAAATTGGCGTCTAATTTTAACAGAGTGAGTCTGGACGTTTAAACGTGGGAGCTTCCCATGGGAGCAGTGTGGAGAGCTTGCCCCCAACCTCTGAGGGCAAGAGGATGAGTGCTGACATGTCTGAAATAGAAGCACGGATAGCTGCAACCACAGGTAAAAACAAACTCAGGGTCTTCATAGAAGTGAAAACATGTCTTATTCCTTTTGATATGCTAGTTTCTGTGGATGAGGATATCAGAACTTTTTTTGTGTCTTATTTTTAAAAATACTTTAAAGCTTCTACCAATAGATGATCTAAAATTCCAAATAATGGTTTGGTTGATAAAAATTATTTAGATCATAAATCTTTCTGATAACAGCATTTGTCTAATGTAATCCTTTTAACTCAAATATATACAGAAGTCAAAAGTGAGAAATTAAAATTTTGACAAAAACAGAATGTTGGTTACCTTTGCAGGGGTTGGGGGATTTGACTAGAATTTTGTACTGAACTCAAATAATAGCAAGTCACTTGTTTTGAAGTTAACACAAGTGTATGCTCCAGATCAAAATATGATTTGGCCTAGCCATACTATCTCCTTCATCTCACAGACACAAAGAATTAAGTTGGATTGAGTGTAGTTCTTTTAACATGAAATAAAAGTTCATAGTAGTTTTATTAGATTTTGAAATAGCATTTAAGTTTTGTCAGTTCTTGAAATAATTAATCCTAAAAGAATTAGTACAAAAACAGTCCCATGTTTTGTTTTTACCTGAGTGGACTAACTAGTAGTCTTCTTTTTTAAACTAGGTTTCATTTTAGTAATGCTGGTTGAGTTTGGATTTTTCATTTTGGTTGTTCTCCCAGGAGTAGAGGGGAGCTCATTATAAAAGTGAATACATTTCTGTTTTAGAATATATGGAAATGTAAACAAACATGCCAGACTTCCTATAATTGCCCCACCTAGAGATAATCGCTTAACATTTCTATGTATTACCTGTAGTTTTCACTGTATATGTGTATTCATGTATATTTCTGTGTATTTGCATATATATATATAATTTTTAACTTAGCTGTTGTGTTTTTTTTTTTTTTTTTTTGGTCTTTTTTCATTAATCTTTTTTTTTTTTCCTAAGTAGAATCTTCTCATTTTATGTAGCACTCTAATCAGAAAAAAAGTTGTAGATTTCTAAGCTTGATTATTTCCAAGTTTCACTTTACCTTTAATAAAAAATAAAATAGAATATCTAAAATAGTACCTGCACTACAGAGGTTTGCCTCTCACACATAAGTAAGTCTGGAAGTAGCCTCCATGATCATTAGGGAACTGGGCTGCTTCTGTCCCCCATGCCACAATCCTTCTTATGTGGCTTCCATCCTCAAGGTTACATCGTAGTCCATGATGCTACTTGAGTTCACTCATCACATCCACATTCCAGGTAGCAACAAGGAAGTGAGAGGAAGGCAAAAGAATACATGCCCAAGTTCTTAAGTAGCTTTCCCAAAAGTCCTACCTAATAACTTCCACCTAGCTGTCATTGGCCAAATAATATGGCCACTGCAAAGGGGACCAGTGGTTTTTTTTCTCTAGGTCAAGTCCAGATTCTGTTGCTAAGAGAGGAGGGAAAAATAAAGATTGGCAGGGAACGAGCTGTTCCTGCCCCATGAGTAGTTTGGTCTTCAAAGCTACCAGGTTGAGTTGAGTTTAGATAACCAACCGCTACAAGCCATCCTTCACTATGACTCCCAAGTATTTCTGTGAAACTGGTTCATCTCAGTGTAATGTCAGGTGAATGGTACACACAAAGCCATACCTTCATACTCTGGAGAACCAGTTTTACTTCAGAGATATCATTCAAGATACGCATGACAGATTCTGATTGCTGCCCTAAAACAACAAGTACAATTACAATGGTAATCTTAGGTCTTTGCTAGTATAATTTTTTTTTTCTGTTTAAGCATTGTTTTATTATTCTTCACAGAAGTGATATTTTACTAGATGAAGGAAAACTGCACTCATTTTAAAAAGGACCCAATTCTTTTTCTGCCTAAGTATAGAACAAGTTTGTGTGTTCTTGGACTTTTACACAATCCACATTTTTTAGTGAATTGTTTTACTTTGAAAGGTTCATATTCTTCACCTTTCAAATTACGTTTAATAGAAATATACACTAAACTTTGAAACTCTAGGAAATAATCCAGTTTACTGTATATAAAGATTGATAGTTAGGGCAGCATAAGCATTTCTTACTTTGTTACAATAATTTCCAGTCACTGAATTTATACACAGTTCAAGAAATACCTGTCTGAATATATAGTCCTGTGTTTTTATAATTAAAACAAAAAATGTCAGCTTACTTCTTTTTAACACCTCTTTTCCTTCCCTCCTTCATCCAGTCCCTCATTGAATATCAGTGGTTTTACTTAGGTAGATTGTTCCTATGAACACATTTGAAATTGAGCTTCCACATTATCCTGCAGCTTTGTGTGTCTCTGTCCTGTTGTTTTATTTTGCTCATTGAAACTAGTGTATCAGATGTCTTGTATTGGTAGTTGTTTGCTTTTTAATCACGTCTTTTCTAAGCATGAATGAAAAGTTAGATAGTTCTGCATGCCATTCTGCATGCCATGTTATTAACATAACTATTTGAAGAAGATTCTGTTTTTGTAGTTAGCCATTTTCTGTGTTCCTATTTGTGGTTGTTTGCATGTATACTGTATATATGTGTTTTTGCAGCCTATTCCAAGCCTAAACGGGGCCACCGTAAAACCGCTTCATTTGGCAACATTCTGGATGTCCCTGAGATCGTCATATCAGGTATCATAGACCGCCTGAGCTGGTCTAATAGCTGTGAAACCGGAATAATAATCCCTGGTACTTTGAAAATGCTTCTTGCTCCAATTTTTATACAATATGAAAATAGATATCTTGCATGCAGTGATTATAGAGAGGGACTACACTAAAGTAACCTGGAGAAAATACCTCAGATTTCCAATAATGAGAATACAATAGAAAGGGAAGTTTACCTTTTCACTGAAGGGAGGATGCTAGCCCAAGATTCAGCCATTGTTCTCTCATCTTTTATGTGAGCAAATGAACTGACCAAAAGAAGAAAAGACTATTTAAATTTTTATTATCTTTGGTTCTTTTCCTTCCTCAATGACTGCTTATTGACGCTATATAAACTTTCTGTTGCCTGCAAGTGAAAGATAAAATTGGGAGAAAAGAGTGTCTAAATACTATTTTGCCTTAAACTAGAAAGCAAAAACAAAGTGGGCCAATACGGATTTGCTGTTTTGCTGGGTATCTTGCCAAAGAATTGTGCAAAATACATAGTCAATTCTGATTCTTCTTTACTATCCAGAGAATCTTTTTGTATAGTGAGGTTATTAAGTATTTTTATTCCTAACTCACACATGATAGGTGCTTTTTGTCTCAAGTAGAAAACTTGCTTTTATTTCTAATGATGATCATTTAATAGATGAACCTAAATCATATTTGATAGAAACTTAAATGGCATATATGACCTTTGATACTGGTTAAGAGATATTACTATAACTTATTTGCCCCTTTTCTTTTGGCTTCTCTCCTCTTTCTTAAATTTTGAAAGAAAAATACATAATTTTTCCCATACACATTCATGATTATGATTTGATGAAGTCTGCAGTATTCTTTCCCTAATCTGACACTGAACTTGGAGCACACACAAGTGCTATACAACTGAAAAGTCCATGAGGATAGAGCTCTTATTTATTACTGAGCAGTATCTGGCTCAGTGCCTCACACATTGTATTTCATAAACAGGTGGCTGGTAAACAGATGAACAGAGCATTAGTTAATATCTCCATTTTCTATGAACTAGGGTACAAAAATACAAATTACACAATTCTTTTAAGAATTTTTGTCTGTTTGTTGTTACGTGCCATCAAATCAGTTCTGACTCAGTAACCCTATATAGGGTTTTCAAGGAGCACTGGTTGGGTTTGAACTGCTGACCTTGAAATTAGCAGTTCAGTGCTTATCCAAAAGTGATACACCAGAACTATTTTTAGTAGAGTAATTTTAATACTGATTGTCAAAGTAATTTATTTTCTGATGTCACTACTGCTTTTCAAAGAAAAGAATTAACCTATTTCTCACAGTGTAATTGTAATTTATTGAGTAATGACATGCTTTAAAAATTAATAAAGTACTGGGATCATTATACTACTATGATGAAAAGGCATTAGGTCTAAGGGCATTAAGTTTACATGTAGTGGTTACGAGTTGGGCTGCTAATCTCACGGTCAGCAGTTCGAAACTACCAGCCATTCCATGGGAGAAAGATGAGGCTTTCTGCTCCTGTGAAAATTTACAGTCTTGGATACCCTGTGCAGGGTCGCTATGAGTCGGAAGCAACTCCATGGCACATAACCACCACCGCTACCACCACTGAGTAGTGATTAATTTGTTTGAGGAAATCGGGACACTTATGGCAAATGGTAGTATAATTTTAATCCAAATCTTATGCGTAAGCAGTAGAAGTGAAGAACTGTATTATAAACCCAAAGTAGTTTTTTCGAAATGGTCAATATACTCAATAATCAGCCCTGGCTCTGTAGGTTAGGTGTTAGCCTGTTATCCACAAGATGGGTGGTTCGAAACCCACCAGCCACTCTGCAGGAGAAAGATGAGGCTGTCTGATCCTCTAAAGATGAGTCTTGAAATCCCTGTATGAGATCACTATAAGTTGGAATAAGCTCCATGGCAGTAGGTTTGTTAGTTTTTAGTTTAATATATTCAATACTGTTTAATTAACAGGAGAGGGAGGAGAGGAAAGAATAATAGTTTGTTTGGATGAGGAGTGAATATGTTTCCCAGAGTACATTGGGCATTTTTGGTTGTCCAGATTGTCAGGTGCTGCTGACATCTTGTGGGCAGAGGACAGAGGTGCTGCTAAACATACCGTGTACAAGACAGCCTCGTCTTACCCCCACTCAGTCAAGAATTATTTACTCAAATTGTCAGCAGTACCAAGACTGAGAAATGCTTGTTAAATAATTCTGTGAAAGTATCTAAAAAAAATTCATTACCTTAATTGACCTTTATAGCCATGTTATCGATGAAGAACTTGTTATCTGATGGCATTGAGTGTTTTGCCTTGAGTCCCACGGCCAGGCCTCCAGCTTAGGT